GCCGCGCCCTCGCCGCCGGCGCCGCCCCCGCCCCCAGCCTCCTACCTGCGGCCGCCCAGCCCCCCAGTCCCGGCCGGTCCCGGGAGGTGAGTGGCAGAGGAGCCCGAGAGGGGTCGCTGCAGGGTCGGGCCGGGAGTCTCAGACTGGAGCACTGGTACTGCCCCGCCGGCCAGCCAGTGTGGCCAGCGGTATGGCCCCGGCCTGGACATCAGCCGGCTCACCTCCCCGGACAGGCGCCGGGCGAATCTCTCAGCATCTCCCAGGCCCACTGCTGGATCGAAAGGGCCCTCAGCTTCCCGCCCCTGGGGACAGCCTGGACCTTCGGCTCAGCACTTATGAGGGAGGAGACCCCGTGGGACAAAGGGGTAGAGGATCCCTTGAGGCAACCTGGAATTGGCCGATGTGGGGTTGGGACCCAGCTCTGGGAAGTCATGCTGGGGCACCTCCTGCCCCTGCTCCTGTCTCCCCATCCTTGGTCTTCACGTCCATGCCCATCCCAGCATGGAGCTGGTGCCAGCACTCCCTCCCCCAGTGCCTGAAGAGCAGGGCCCTGGCCAGTCCTGAACTCACTCCTCTGCCCTTACCCACTTTACAACCCCATCTCTCCAAAGACCCTCCTCTTGGCTGGGCTCCTCAGCCCTAGGTGGGTGGTTTTGAGCTGGGCTCTAAGGCCGACCACCCCCCAAGCAGGGAGCCTAGACAGGTTACCAGTCTCTCTGGAGCCCGCTTACAGAAAAGGCATGATTAATTGTCACCTCAGGGTGTGGTTCTAAGCATTAAAGAGGTTGGTATTTGTAAATGCTCAAAACAGAGCCTGGCACCCACAATAAAGGGCCCCACAATGTTAGCAATTTTCCTTTCCAGCTGATTCTTAGTCTCAGATGCCCTCTCTAGAAGCTCTGAAGGCCTGGTGTCCAGGATAGTTCCAAGTGAAGGGTTTCAAGACAGGCTCCGTGCTAGGCCCCAGGCGCTCCGAGGAGCTGGGACAGCCAGGTATGTGGGCAGGAGACAGACCCTCTGATCAAGGACTCCCAGCCACCGGACAGATCTGCCAGGGCTATGTCAGAAGGTGGTGACTGTGCTATTAGGGGCCTCCAGGACCACCAGACTGTGTGGTGGCAGCCCCCCCATCTGACCCAATCCACACCTGGTAGGGAAATGGGGGCTGCTCAGCCCCCGGCCAGCTCCTCATCCACAGGCCCTGGACCAGACCCTGGCCCGGAAGGCCAGGCTGGACATGAAGACAGGAAAACAGGGTCTCCAGAAATCCCAATCCACGGGGGGTGGGATGCGTAATAGCCACATAACCACAGGGCCACGGTACCCAAAAGGGGGGGACACGGTTCCCTGACCTGGAGATGGAAGGCTTCCTAAAGGAGGTGACATTTGGAGCAGGTCTTGAGGAAAGAGTAGCAATTGTTCAACCAGGGAGGGACTGGAGTGGGCGCAGGGCTCTTCCTTCCCCTGAGAAGGCAGGCTCCTCCCTCTCCCTGCCCAGCAGCCCCCTTCAAGGGCCGGTGTCTGATCAGCCTTCAGCTAAACAGGTGACGAAGGAACACACAGCGGACAACTGACAGACAGTGAACGGACGCGGGGCACAGACAGTGTTTATTGAGTGGCAGGTGCAGGAGAGGTCGCTGGCTCCAGTGTAGAAGCGGAGGCAGCAGGTCATGCCAGGGCGCTGTGGGCATCTGGCAACCAGGGCCATGCCCCCCATCATAGGGGACGGCATAAGCTCACTACAACAAGAGTAGCAAGGAGCCGGCCAGGGGAAGAGGCAGCCACAGCCCCCAGGATCCTGGGCAAGAAGCGGCAGGTGAACTTGGCACAGGGGCCTGGGGTAGGAGGACTGGGGTCTGGGTGTTCTGGGGGGAAACAGAAGGGGATCACGTCTGTGGGGTGGAGTAGAGACTGTGGTGGTGGCCGCCTGGTCCCAGCACCTGGGAGAAGAGCAGAGGAGTGGTCCGCGTCTGGCTGCCCCCGCACCAGCCTGGCTCCCGCCCGATGGCACCGTACCAGCTGCCGGAGCCTAGGCTGCCTGACATGCTGCAGGCAGAGAAACACCGTCAGTCCCAGGGCAGTGACCAGGGCCACATTCACAAGAGCTGGGGGAGGGAGAGAGCCTTAGAACAGAGACCAGTGACCGAGACCTCCAGGATGCAAACTGCATCTCGGGGCGAGAGATGGAGACCTCATCTAGTACAGATGGGAATCAAAGAGCATGGCGGGCCAGGCAGGTGGATGGGTGGCAAGACCCAGGACTAGGTCCCCATAGCTTGATGGAGCAAGCCAGGAGCCCAGGGGTCTGAGGCAGGGCCAGGGCTCCTACCTGGTGCTCTCGCCCCGGCTGTGCTCCCAGGAGCAGCCCTCGTCCTCGCAGTGCCCAGCCCGGTCGAAGAAGTAGGAACGGGAGCCAAAGACCTGCCCGTTGAGGATGCGGCTGGTGCTCTGGGGAGGAAGCCGCCATTGATGCTTTCTCCTGCCCTCACTGGCCTCCCACAAACCCCTTAGACCCCAGCCCAGGATTCCATGTCCACCCCTCTCCACGGCCCTCACCAGGTCCTGCGGGGGCCGGTGTACCCGGAAGAAGCCCACCAGCAGTGTGGTAGGCAGCAGCTCCCACACAAAGAGGATGAGGCCAAACACCAGGTAGCCCTTGTTCCCCAGGTCATTCACCAGGTCCGCCTGTGGGAAGGCAGGGGCTTGTGTCAGTCCGCAGTCGTGCTATGGGGCACCCAGATAGGGCCCAGGCTAGCTGGGGACCAGGAGCCACAGCTACTAAGGAGGCGGCAGACGTGCCGAATGCCCACCTGGTCGGAGACGTTGTACCAGTCGTAATCAAAGGCATCCAGCCGGCTCCGGGGGGCCAAGGCCAGGGCCGCCAGGTTGTAGCAGGCCCGGCTGGCATAGAGCAGGACCATGGCGCCACCCATCGCGGCCGCCTGGCACACACTGGTCCCCTGGCACAGATGACAACAGGGAGGGGAGGCTCTAGCTTCCTCTCTACCCTGAAAACCACTGCCCAAAGACCACCAAAGGATACCCAGGCATCAGGGCTTGTGGCCCTACCTTGGCCTCCAGGTAGATGCTGGTGGAGGGGGCCCGCCGGGCGACAAGGCAGAGGCAGGCGGCCAGAGAGAGCGCGCAGATGACAAAGAGGGAGTCGCTCACCAGGACTCGCACCAGCAGGAGGGCCCAGGGCTGTGCCCGGCGCCGGCGGGACAGCACAGCACACAGCACATTCACCAGCAGAAAGAGCAGCGAGGCCCCCACGAAGGCCCCTCGGACGGCCAGCCTGCGGCCCACAGCACAGTCAGCCCCAGCCCTGGGCGCTCAATCACCCCACCTCCCGCAGAAGACCCTGGTCAGTCAGAACCAATCCAGACCAATCCAGTCCGAAGCCTGCCCCTCCAGTTTTAGATGGGGAAACTGAGACCCAAAGAGATCAGATGGTGACCGACAGCTGTGGTCGAGTGGAGAGAGCACCGGACTGAGAGTCAGAAATCTGGGTTTCAGCCCTGGCTCTGCTCTCTGCCAGGTCTACGACCTTGAACATGCTGCTTTACCTTGCAGGCCCTCAGTTTCTACATCTCTCAAATGGCGACAGTAAAAGCCTCAGGGGTAAGTTGTAAAAATTAAAGATGTTTGTGAAAGCTCGTCATAAACTGGAAGACGTTATACAAATGACAGGATATTGCCACGCAAGGTCACCCAGAAGTGCAGTCTGGCTTGGGCTGAAGCCTCCCACTCTTCCTCTATCATGGGTGACACTGGTACCCTCTCCCCTCACTCACGACTGTTTCTATTATAATTTCTCTTGACCTGTGCCATGCCTCTGCTCAGCCATCCACCCCAGGAGCCCTACTTTTCCAAGCTTTTTCACAAACATTCCTGGGGTGGTCCTTGCCTCAGCCCTGCAAGGGAGGAAGGAATGGACACCGGGCTGCTCCCTGGCCTGGGGGCTGAGCCCACCAGTGTCCCGAGTACTCACAAGCCTCGGCTCATCTCTGGCCGACGCTTCGCCTTGGCCTTGAACACCACCTGGGAGCAGAGACGCCCATCATTCCTTTGGGCCTCTGGGGCTTGCCCCACCACCACCCACCCCCACCCGGGACCACAGTTACCTGGGCAAAGTAGAGGTTCATGAGGGTCAGCGTGAAGAACTGCAGGCAGACAGGGCAGCAGTAGAGAAGCCAGAAGGGGAGAGGCCCCAGGCGGTTGGCACGGGGGGTGTCTCGGAAGTAGAAGGAGAAGAGGGTGGTACGCAAGGCAGCCCAAAGCAGACAGAGTGCCAGGAACACCGTCTGGTAGCTGAGACGCTTGTGCCCATAGAGCAGCACCAGCCAGAGCTGGGCATAGACGGAGAAGAAGAGAAGGGCGTACAGCGTGGTGTAGGCCGCGGTCAGCCCCAGGGTCACGGCGGGCGGCAGGGCAGGCACCAGCCCAGCAGCAGGCACCGGGCCAGATAGGTTACTCTCCATGTCAGGGAGGGAGGCCTGAATCCCGGAGACAGAGATGGAGGGGCTGGCAGGGGGCCAGGGAAATAAATACGGAGGGGTGGGAGCTGCAGGGTGCAGAGATGGAGATGGGGCGCTCGCGAGGAAAGAAGTTGCGGCTCACCAGGCCCTTCCCCCTCCACAGAGGGGCCCTCGCCCTTGCAGCGGGGCACGGGCAGCCTGGAGCCTGCGCCCCTCACTCGGGGCGTAGAAGGGCAGTCTCTCCTCTCCAGGGTAGAGGAGGTGGGTGGGGGGTGTCTCCCCTGCACCACCCCAGAGCCGGGGTAGGGGACTGCAGAGGCTGAAGGAGAGGGGTCCCTGGACTTGGTCGCTCGAGTCCTCCCGGCAGGAGGGGGAGAGCCGGCCGATGCCCGTGGGCTCAGGGCAGCGGCCGCTGCGGGGGGCGTTCAACGCCCGGCTCTCCCCCTCCCCAAACTGGGGAGATCTCTCCCCTCCAATGATCCGGATGGGAAGGGCCTCTGCCTTCCGTCCTCGGGATTCCGGACGCTGCCTCCACCCCACCCCCACTGCGTCCACCCTCCAGCCGCGGGGGCCCCGAGGAGGCGGACGCCGGGTCCTCAGGCCGCCGCTGGGGGAGCCGGCTCCGGTCGCTGGGACCCGGGGCTCCAGCTCCCCGGCTCCCGCTGCTCCGCCCCCTCCTGCGCCTGCGCGGGCGCCGGTCGCTACGCAAATTGCGCAGGGTCTGGCCCGGGCTCCGCAGCCCGGCGCCGCGCCCGGCGCGGAGCCGTTTGAGAATTGGCGCAGCTGCGCCGCCGGCGGACGCCAGGGGTTACGAGAGGCGGCAGGCGGCCGAGACGCTGGGGCCGCGCCGCATCCGGCGGGCGCCTGGGGGGGCCGTGCCCGGGGCCACCGGCCCTTGCTTGTTTGAGGGGCCGCCAGTTCCCATACTTCTCTTCCCCATAGCCAAACCGAGATCGCTCCGCCCGGCTGAGGGCGGCAACGACTTCCCCTCACCCGGTTCCTGAAGGAAACTTCCGCCCACAGCCAAGATGGCCTCCGGGCCCCGCCCCCTGGGCCTCACCCTCTGTCCCCGCTGTCCCCAAGCGGCCCGCCGCCCCACGCCCTGGCCGGCAGCGGCTCCCGCTCACCTGGGCGGCCGCCTGCCAGGCGCGAAGACCCCGCGAGTCCTACGGTCACCCTCCCAGGGGGCCCTGTCCGCTCTCCTGCGCCGGGGCAGCCATCCCGCCAGGCAGGAGACTGCTCGCTTATCTCGAGCGCTCCCGCGATGGCGCGGGGAGTGGTGCCCGATGCGGGCGCTGCGAGGTTTCCACTGTGGGGAGGGGGAGGGCGCGGGACTTCCCGACCCGGCCACCCATCCAGACGGGGCAGTGACAACAGCGACGACAGTTGCAGCCGGCGGCCGAGCTTCAATGACGGCTTTGCAAAGTGCTTTCACACACGGTTTACAATGATCAGTGGCTCCTGAGGGAGGTGTCATTATCCCCATTCTACAGGGGTAGGAACTGAGGCCAGAGGGGCCGAAGGACTTGTCACCAGAAGCTGGTCTCCAGGTTCCCGGTGGGGACCCCAGAGAATCCCTCCTCTGCTCCCACACACGCCCAGGGCACGAGAAAGCCGGGAGCCGAGAGTCCGGAGACGAGGAGTGGACCCAGGCAGGAAGGCGGGCGGCGGAGAGAGGGTCCGGCGGGGGGGGCGGGGCCGGGCCGGGAGCGGCCCCGCCTCCTGGCCCGCCCTAGTGACATTTCGAGAGCTGATTGGGCCGGGTCGGTGACAGTTTCCGTTGCCCAGGCAACTCGGGCTGGGCTCCCTCAGTACTAGAGGGAGGCGGCGGCGGCGGCGGTGGCGGGCTCGGGTCAAGGGCCTCCAGATCGGGCTTGGGGTGAGACCTGGGTGCCGTCACCACGGGCGGGTCAGGCCGGGGCCTGGGTAGGGGCCTGGGGCTGCTCCACCGCTCCAGGGCTCCGAGAGGAGATTTGGGTCCTGGGTGGACAATCTGAGCTTCCTGCCCGGCCCACACTCAGTGGACAGATGGGGGCCTGGGAGGCAGGGCAGACCTGGGGCTCTAAGGTGGGAGAGGGGGTCAGGGGTGCCTACCCTTACCCCCCCACCTCCCCCGCCGGCCACCGTTTGCCCCTAGCCACGCACCATCTTGCCCCTACAGCCCAGAGCATGTTCCAGATCGCAGAGTTTGAGCAGAGTGAGCAAGAAGACTCCAGCCCTGCAGATAGGGGCCTGGGCCCCAGCCCCACGGGGGACCGGCCCTCAGGCCTGGTCAGGCACCAGCGCACGGCCCCAGGCCTCCTGGGGGAAGCCGGTCACCAGCAGGAGCAGTCAGCCAGCAGCAGCCACCATGGAGGTAGGCACCCCCACTTGCCCCCAGCCCAGGACCTCCTGCACCCCAGCCGCATCCACACTCATAGGGTGGCTTTGAGTAAGTCCCTAACCTCTGTGCGCCTCTGTTTCCTCTGCTGTAAAACAGAGCAATTAATCACCACCATTGTAGGGCTGTTGGGATGAATAGCAGGAGTATACAGGAAGCACTTAATTATAGTGCTGGTGCTTAATGAATGCTCAAAGAATGTAGCTGTTAGGACCAGGACAGAAATCTGAGAGGCAGGCAGGGAGCCAGAAAAGGGAAGTTACTTGCCTAAGGTCACACTTGCTTGGCATTTCCTTTCGTAAGAAGCGGGGCTGGAAGGCTCCATCAGCGCTCTGCCCCAGGCTCCTGCTTTCTCTGGGATGGGCCTTCTAGTCCCCAGGTATGTTCCTTCCCGCCCTGTGGTCACACCCACACCGGGGCTATCCTTGCCTGTTGCCAGGGGCAGGTGACCTCAAGAGGCAGACAGCCCGCCCGCGGTCAGTGGGTTACTGTAGGGGTGGGGAAGCACAGGCCTCCCTCCACGCCCACTGAGGGCGGCCCAGCGCCGAGAGATGGGAGGACGGGCACAGGAGGGCAGTGGCCATTTCTCAGTGGTCCCACCTTCTCAGTGCCCAGCACTGGCCTTGGCACCTGGAACAACCACAGAGATCTGAAAACAAAAATCACATCCCTCGCCTGCTGAAACCTACATGACCCCCTTCATCTTCGGGAGCAAGAAGGCTTACTAAAGCCTCCTCCCCAGCCCTCCGCCACACACCCTGTCAGACGGAACTCCACCGGCTTTAACTTCCAGATCTTTGCACTTGCTGTTTTTCTGCTGAAAAAGCTTTCCACCTCCCACCTGGCTGTTCCTCCCCGTCCTCTGTATCAAGTGCTTAATAGGTGCCACGTAGTCTCCCAGCTTCCAGGGGTACATCAGTGACAGATGAGATAAAAATCCTTGCCCTCGTGGAGCCTACCCTGTCCTGGGGTTGGGGGAGGCAAGCCATAAACAAGAAGAAAATGATAGAGTGCGTTAGAAGATGACACAGCCGGGGGCAGCGCCCCAAACAGTCTTGACTGTCTCCTTTGAATTCGGAGTATGGGGGGGGGCCCTGGGGGAGTGACTTCAGCTGAGGTGGTCAGGGTTGCCTCGGTAAGAGGCAACCTTCAGCAAAGGCTGGAAGGGATGAGGGGTGAGCCACGCAGGTATCTGTGGGGCGGGAAGGGTGCATGCAAAGGCCCTGGGGGCAGGATTCACCGGTCCAGGCCAGTGAGGGGAGGGGCAGGGAGCTGGAGATGCATGGAGTTAATGGAGGGGGAGGGGCAGACAGGCAAGGCTTTGAAGGCCAAGGTAAGGACTTTGGCTTTCCTTTGGGTGAAAACATGGGAGGGCTTTGAGCAGCTGCAGGGTGATCTGATTTTGGCATCAAGAGAATCCCCAGGGCCCCTGTGTTGAGTCTGCAATGGGCAAAAGCAGCAGTGGGGCTGCGGCCTGCGCCCGAGTCCCTGCGAGGGAGGATGGTGGCTTGTGCCAGGGCGGTGGCATTGCAAGTGGTAAGTAGCTGGACTCGGGGTTTATTCTGAAGGTAGAGCAGGATTTGCTGCCGGACTGGATGTGAGGGTGAGGGAAAGAGGAGTCGAGGATGCTGCGAGGAATCTGGCCTGGACGCCTGGAAGGACAGCTTGCTCCTGAGATGGAACTGAGATATGGGGGGACGATCAGGAGCCCAGCTGGGCCAGGTCAGCTTAGAGGTGCCTTTTGGGCATCCAGGTGGAGATTTCTAGTAGGGATGGGTCCAGGCAGGATTCGTGCACGTGGGAGTTGTTAGTCACCGATGGCCTGTTCTGTGAGGCCCAGGGAGCCAGCGTGGACAGGAGGGGACCTGGACTGAGCCGGGGCCTCCAGCCTTCAGAGGGCAGCAGAAGAGGAGGAGCCGGCCCTGGGGACTGAAAAGGAGGGAGCAGCAGGGTGGGAGGGAAACCCAGAGCATGCAGGGCCCAGGAAGGCGTATGGGGCTCGTAAGGAGTGGGGCTCTGGACCCACGATGCTCCTGGGAGGGCCGCTCACTGGAGGAGGGCTGGGAATGGGGCGCTGGCGTTGACAACTTGGGGCCACCGCAATGGTGGGGAGGCGGCGGAAGGCTGACCTCAGTGGGGAGGGACAATGGGAAGAGAGCTGGAGACAGGAGAGAGCCCACTCTCGGCAGCTGTCCTCCGGTAATGAGGAGCCAAGGGGTGGGCGGCAGCTGAAGGCCCGAGGAGAGGCAAGGAAGTGTTGTGTGTGTTTTTTTTTAAGATAGAAAGGGAAAAGAAAATAACATGTTTATAAGCTGATGGGAGTAATCCAGGAGCGAGGGAAATATGGGATGTTGCAGGAGAGAGGGGAGACTTGCCGGAGAGATGTCCTTGAGTGGGAGACGGGGGTCTGCTGCCCAGCAGAGGGGCAGCTCAGCTAAGAGCAGGGCAGTGGACATGGGCGGTATATACCTCGTGGAAACTAGACGTTTCTCTTGTGGGTGCTTTCAATTTCTCAGTAAAAGGTCACAGGCCAGGAGTGAGAGTGGGGCAAGGGGTGGGGGCTGAGGGGAGAGAGGAGCAGGTTTGAAGTGGTTGCCATCCTGGTGGTGGTGAGCCCGTGGGAGGCCTGGGATGGAGTTATTGATGTGACAGGCCCAGGTCCTGCCCGCGGGAAAGAGGGGGAGGGGAGGGGAGGGGGGCGAGGGCAAGGAAGGAAAGGCTAGGAGGTGGGAGGGACCACTCTGGTCCATGAATGAAGTGAGACAGGAGGGGCGATGGACAGAGTGCTCCTGCACAAACTGCGGGCGCCACCTGGGCAGGGGGGGGCCTGAGGCATGGAGTGGGGGATGGCACACCCAACAAACTAGATTTGGTAGGGGGGAGAGTGATCTGAAGAGCAGTAAGGAGCCCAGGGGACATCTACCCCAGCTCCAGACCCAGCCGTGGGGAGGGCTGCAGGAGAGAAGAAAGCCACTGTTTGAGAGGACCACACAGGATTTCTTAAACTTTTGACTTAGTTTTCAGTGTCTAAAAAGCAAGTGATTTTTCCATAAAAGATCCACAAGTGCCAATGACCTGCCAGAGCCACAGGGCCACTGCCCCCTCCGGATGGGCAGGTTCCCTTCATTCTTCATCTTCCCTGCCACCTGGCCCCTGCTGGATGGACTGTAAGGGTTCCCAGGGCAGGGACTGTGGCCAGGTTGAGCTTGAGCAGGTTAGTTAACTCACCCTGCCTCAGTTTTCTTATCTGTAAAATGGGCATAGAACTAGTCCCACCTCATAGGGTCATAGTGAGGATCTGCTGAGTTAATACAGGAACAGTGCCTGGCACAGGGGAGTCTTTGCGGTTCTTACTATTACTGCGATTGTTGTTGTTATTGTTACTATGCATTGTCCCAGGCTCTGAGCAGTCCTGGGGACTGCCATTGATTCAGTGGGGACAGACACGTGAATAACCAGTGCCCTCCTGATGGCGGACATGTGAAGTATAGGTTAGAACCAGAATGTAAGGGCCTTGCAGGCCATGCCAAGGAGTTTGGGCTTTATCTCATAGGCGATGGGGAGCCATTGAAGGTTTCAGGCAGAGGACAGACAGACACAGTCAGGTTTAGAGCAGCGTTTGGCAAACCACAGCCACAAGCTAAATCCCTCTTCTTTTGTACAGCCCATGAGCTAAGAATGGTTTTGACATTTTTAAATAGTTGACAAAAATCCAAAGAACATTATTTCATAACAAATGAAAATTATATGAAATTCCGATTTTAGTGTCCCTAAATACAATTTTAGTGGAATATAGCAACACACAGTCATTTCTGTCTTGTTTATGGCTTCTTTCAAGTTATGACCACAAAGTTGAGTGACTATGGCAGAGACTTTGCGGCCTGCAGTGGCCAAAATATTTACTGTGTGGCCCTTTACAGAAAACATTCGCCAGCCCCACTTTAGAGTGTTTTCTGATCTCGTCAGCTCTGGGCAAGGTGGAGTATGTCCTTTGCAGGCCAGTAAGGGGCTTTTGTACCCCAAATGGCTTTAGGGTACACGGGGAGTCTGGGCCGAGGCCTGCAGGTGCCGGAAGCTGACAGGCAGCCAGGCCTGCTCGGGGCGGTGGGGCACCACACAGCCGCCATGCTGCTCTGCCTGCAGATGACAAGCAGTGTGAACACCTGCACGTGGTACAGCAGGACCCAAACCTGGCCCTGCCTGACAGCAAAGCATCACTGCCTCGAATTGTCTGGAACACCACCATTTTAATAAAGTGTGCAAGGATGCTCACAGGAGCGTGACCATGGATGTGTCCAGCCCCACCCACTTACCCAGAAGCCCAGTGGGTAGAGAACGTAAAGCTTTGCTAGGGCTTGGGGCGCCTCCAGCCCCTCCCACTCCCCCACCCACCCCAGCCCCAGGCGGCTCTCTGGGAGGGTGGCGTGAGTGGGCAGGCCTGGGCACCCACCTATGCTCACACCCAGACAGGACACGCCCCCTCCCTGCCCCTCCCCAGAGCGGGAGAGGCCACCTGTGCCCTGCCCAGGGACCCGTTGGGGTGAGAGCTGACCGAGGGTGGGTTGGTTCAGGGCGGGCGTGTCTGCCTCCCCCAGGGAGTTCACAGAAAATCCCTCAGGTTTTTTCCAGTAAATAAGACACTTTTAAAAGTTCAGTTTACACAAATGAGTGTCATTTAGACAATGGCTAGCTTGGCATCACTAAATCCATGGCTTTGGTGAAAATCCCCCACCCCATAGGATAGGCTCCTGGTAGAGCTGGCACTCACAGAAGGCCCAGGGGTGCCTTCCCCACCCTGGGCCCCCAAGGTGGCCCATGGTGTTGCTGGGGGGTGCCTGGGGCATGGGAGTTAAGCACACAGGCCCTGGAGCCAGACTGGTGGAGCTCTGCTGCCTGCTAGCTGTGTGACCTTGGGCAAGTTACTTGCCCTCTCTGTGCTTTAGTTTTCTCAGCCTCCTTCACAGGGTGTGATGAGGACGTAATGAATTAATACACGGGAAGCACGTCCAACCTGACACAGGGGGTGCTCTTCTGCCTGTTCTGATTCCTGGGCGATGGGGCAGTGTCCAGACCAAATGCCCACCTGCAAGTCACCCACCTTCCAACTCCTGGGCCTTGCATCTGTCAAGTGCAGTGGTTGTGTGGATTCTTAGAGCTAGAGAAGGAGAATATATAGGTGATAGTTCCTGAGTGCTTAAGTGCCTAGGAAGGGTGTGCCAGCTGTGTGACCTTGGGCAAGTTCCTCACCTCTCAGCGCCTCCGTTTCCTCATCCATAAGACAGGGGAACTTGGCATCTACCTCACTGAGAAGCTGAGAGGCTTCAGGATGTGAAAGGGGCAGAACAGGATGCGCTTTGAAAGGGGCAGAACAGGATGCGCTTCTTGTCTCATTTGTTCTCCTGGTGGTCCCGGGAGATGGGGGCTGCCCCCATTTCATAAAGGAAGACACTGACGCCCCAAGGGGCTGGCGAAAGGGCGCAAGGTCACGAGGCAGGACCGTGGTCAAGGTGGGGCCTGCCTAGCTACTGACCCCTGCTTCACCGCCCTCGCCCCACAGAACCGGAAAGTGCTCTGCAGATGGGCCTGTTCTCATCAGGGGTCTTTCTATTCCCAGCTCCTCCGACCCCCGTCCCCAACCCTGACTCCTGATTTAGCTGCCTGTTCCCCACAGCCGCCTCGTCAAAGGCTTCATAGTGTCCCTGCCTGACCCCAGGCCTGGGCTTCCATGAGCTCAGAACAGCCCGGCACTCTGACCACACGCTCTTAGCCCAGGCCTTTCGCGATCCAGCCCTCTCTTCCCTTCTTGGCTTTCTCAGCCGTGTGTCTGGAGCTGGGACCCCTGGAGACCCTGCAGCCCCTGGAGCTGACCCCCAAGGCTCTGCGGAAGGTCCTCTGGGGGAGGACGAGGAACTGTCATCCCTCGGCTTAAACACCTGGCCTAAATCTTACTTCCTCCAAAAAGCCGTCCCTGACGGCCGTGCCCGCGTGTGCATTTGCTCCGTGCCTGCCTTTCTCTCTATCACTAGCTCTGGGTCTGTGCTCCTGGGAATGGTCTTGGTTGGTCTAGATATAGGGGTGGGCTTGGCGGGAGTGGGGAGACAGCATGCAGTACACAGGTCAGACAAACTCAGAACACAGTGGAGGGGCCTCTGAATAGTGACCCATCATGCACTTCAGCTGACAGCCCTTTCACACTCTTTATTTTATGTGACCTTTACACACTCACTGGTAGTAAGGGCCAGGTTTACCCCCACAGAGGTGAGGGTACGGGCACAGAGAGTCGAAGGATAGTTGGACAAGGGAAGGGGGTAGCCCAATGGTCACCACTGGACTCTGGTCAACAGGCCTCTCGGGACTTCCAGCCGCAGAGTTGCACAGCTGTGCAACTCTTAATCTCTCTGAGCCTCTGTCTTCTCATCAGTAAAATGGAGGTGATGTTAGCATTCACCTCCCAGATGGTTAGGAGGATAATGAGGAAATGCCCAGGGTCTAGCACATACTGAGTGCTCCATAAATACTACCTAAAAAAGTCAACAGACCGTTGCCGCCGTTTTCTTCAAAGCAGGTGCAGGTACTGTGGGGGTGCAGACACCCGGCTGCCAGATTCTTGTTCTCCAGGGACCCACGGTCTCCTGCAGGCCACCAGAGTGAAACAAATGGGCCCCCACAGGTCACCTGCAGAGGGGAGTTCAGCCCTGCCTGGCTGGGGCGGGACACCTCCTCATCCGGGGGGACACTTTCCTCTGCTGGAGAATGGAGACAATGAAAGAGCCAACCCCACGGGGGTGCTGGGAGGCCCCACGGTCTGGCACTAATAACTGTCATTACTATTTCTTATGCCCTTATTTTGTACCAGGCACAAAGGAAGGTCATTTTATACACTAAGGGCCTGACCCATTATTGGGGCTCAATTAAGATTTGTGGGGTTAATGAGAAGTTAATTCGAATCTTCACAAAAGCCCCATGAGCTTCCCTCGATTTACACATGAGGGACGTGGGGCTCCGAGAGGTACCCCGTTATGGGCACACAGACACCAGCGGGCAGCGGAGCTGATGCCGCGGGCTGCGGCAGGGCCGGGGCGCAGGGGAGCTGAGATGCCCGCCGCCCCCACCCCCGACCCCCTCTGCAGGTGCTGGGGCTGTGGAGATCCGGAGTCGCCACAGCTCGTACCGCACAGGGACCGAGGAGGATGAAGGGATGGAAGAGGAGGAGCCCAGCCCCTTCCGGGGCCGCTCGCGCTCGGCGCCCCCCAACCTCTGGGCTGCACTACGCTATGGCCGCGAGCTCCGGAGGATGAGCGACGAGTTCCAGGGCTCCTTCCAGGTGAGCGCCGGCCCGGCGCGCATGCCGGGACCTATACTCCTAGGTCACCTCCCACTGGGCTGTCCCTTCGTCCCCTCCCCTCCCAGCGGCTTGTCCCTCCCCGAGTCCCAGGGCATGCCGGGATCTGTAGTTCCAGGAACACTTCCTTCTGACCTGTCCCTTCCCGAGTCCCAGGGCATGCCGGGATCTGTAGTTCCAGGTAACCTACCCTCCGGCCTGTCCCTTCCCGAGACCCAGGGCATGCCGGGATCTGTAGTCCTGACCCCGGCCCAGAAGGCCAAAGCTCCTGGGGTCCCCAAATCCTGGCAGCGCGAGGCATGCTGGTATCTGTGCTCCCGGCCGGCCCCTTTCGGGTACCCGCGTCCTTTGGCCTCAACTTCGGAACCACTTCTCTAATTGTCGAGTTGTGGTCCCATCTTCCAGATGCTCGGTCTTCGGCCCTGGCGCTAACATACAGGGTCCTAGGCGTCCTCTCCCCCGTCCGCGGCGCGGAGTGTCTGGGGCCTAAGCAGTCCCATTCTTAAGGGCCCAAGCAGGCGACCTGCCGTGCTTAGGGAAGTGTCAGGAGTCCCCGCGGGATAGGGCATGCCGTGGTCTTTATCTTCCCGGGATCTCACGTAGAGGTGGGATTCCAGAAGTGGAGGGCCCAAAAGAAGCTCACTTATTTAACCCTTTCCTCCTCCCACCCCGAAGGGACTTCCTCGCCCGAGGAGCGCGGGCATACCGACGCAGATGCAGCAAAGCCCCAGCTGGACGCGCGCCATCCAGTCCTGGTGGGATCGGAACTCGTCGAGAGGAGGCTCCGCCCCCTCCCAATGACCTCCCGCCGCCGCTGGTGGCCATTTTGGGTGTGGGCGGAAGTCTTTTCCGCAGGCCTTATGCAAAAGCGGGTCGAGTTTCGGCAGGAGGCGGTCTGACCCAGAGCGCGATTCCCTTCCGAGTGCGTGAGGACCACGGAGGGTTCGGCCCCATCGGAAGCTTTTCCGCCCTCAGCCGCCGGAAGTAGCCGTGGCCCCGCCCCCGGCGCCGGGCTGCCCCAGGCGCCTGCGCCAAGTTGCGAGCCCGGTTAACCCTGACTTCACCAGAGCCCCTCCCTCCGCGGAGGCGCCGCGGGCCGCCGCTCGCAGAAACGCGCTAATAAAGCTCGCGTCCGTGCCGCCCAGTCTCTGTCGTTGCCGGGGCCTGCGCGGACAGGGCGGCGCTGGCACCGACAGTTTCAAAGGGTGCCCCCGTTTTACACATGGGGGAACTGAGGCTCATTTTGAGTGACTTGACCTGGGACCGAGACCAGGACGGGGGGCGGGGGACGGCGGCGAGCAGAGCCAGGGCGGCCGGGCCCCAGGGACCGCCGGGTCCTTATCTCTAATATGGTAATTGGGAGCCGCAGGCCGGCCGGCCGCCGGAATTCCGCTTTCTGCAAATGGTACTGCCGTCCCCCAGGGAGGGTCATTTGTTCCGATGTGGGTCAGTCCTTTCGAACAGCTACTGTGTGGCCGGCCCGGGGCCAGCGCTGCTCGGGGAACTGGCAGGGCGCGCAGGGCGGGGGAGGGGGTGGTGGAAGGCGCGGCCCAGGGCTGGGAGTGGTCACCAGGGAACCGGAGAAGCCTCAGCAGGACGCAGGAGCAGCTCGGAGCTCAATTCCAGAAAGATTTATTGGCGCCCCCCATAGACCAGCCAGTGCTTTGTACTGGACACACACACATGAATTATGCCACAGACCCTGCCCTCCGAAGCTTCCTGACGAGGGGAGAGCCAGCCTCTCCGAGTGGGGTTACCGCCGGCTGGGTGCTCTCTAACAGAGGGGACGGAACTGGGGTGAGGGCAGCTCCCTCCGGCAGGGGAAAGTCAGGAGGGCTTCGGGGAGGAGGTGAGTTACAGCTGGGACTGGAAGGGAGAAGTGGGACAAGGGGCTGTCATTCTGGGCAGAGAGGAGTGGTCCCATGGAAGGATGGGGGAGCAGCAGAGGCCAGGCTTCTGAGGGGCTTGAATGTCATACCCAGGAGTTGGGAGTTTAGCCTGGTTGTTGAGGACCCGGGGATTGACATGTAGTGTTTCCATAAGTGGAGGTGAGCGGAGTCAGGAAGACAGGAGGTGGCTGCAGAGAGGCCGGGACACGGAATGCAGTGGGCTGATGGGATAGGACAAGGGCTGACCTCAGAAGCAGGCCTGGGCAATGGTATTAACCCTGAGGGAGCAGGGACCAGGGCAGAGGTCCCCAGCCCTGGGAGGGCCCTACTCAGAGTCCTGTTTCTCTGGCCTCCTCACCCCATCTGTTTGCCGGAGGCTTCAGCAAAAACAAAGAACGAAAAGTGAATTGGCAGGAGATAAGCCCAGATAAGAGGCTGCCTTCCTCTGGAGGAGGGAGGCAGGCAGCTTGGGAAGCACCAGGAAGCTGGGAGAGGCCTTGAAGAAGTGCCAGCCTGACCCCGCTGCAGAACCCCGCCGCACCCTGGCTGTGGGGTCTCTGCCACTCCACGTTGTCCCAGACCAGAGGGGAGGCACGGAGCAGGTCCTCCAGGCTGGCCGCACAGTCTGGTGGGCCATGGAGGGTCCAGGCCCACCCTGCCTCCGGGTCAGGATGTCTTGACTTAGCTGTGGCCTGGCACCCGTGACTTCTGCTCTGGGCCTCAGTTTTCTCATCTGTAAAACAGGCAGAACATCTCCCTCACAGGGGTGAGGGGGATGCTGGGTCTCCCAGTCCCCGTGAGGGTCACTGCCAGGCCTACCCACTTCCCACCCACCACTGAGTGCCCAAGTCCCCTGATGTTGGGCAGGTCGTGAGCTGCCCAGCTCCACCCCCAGCCAGTCTGTCCCCCGATAGAATCAACTGCCCGTGTGGGGCCCAGGGCAGCTCTGCGGAAGATGCTGGGCCTCGGGTCATATCAGGCAACAGGAAGGGGGGGGCAGGGAAGGCTTCCTGAAGCAGAGGCCTAAGCCTCCGAGAAGAGAGGACAGAGCCCAGGAGGGAGAAACGTAACGGGGGAGTGGGCGGGGGCAGCGACAGCCCAGGGACAGAGGGCACAGAGGCAGGAACGCCTGATGTCAGGTCACTGGGAAGATCTGTAGGCCCCGGGCTATGAGGTCTCAAGGTTCAAACCCAGCAACACTGCTAGGGGCCTGACCTCAACCCCACAGTGCCCACAAGCTCATTTTACAGATGAGGAAACTGAGGCCCCAGAAGTGGCAGAGCCAGACCTAGAGCCCCGAGTCCTCTCCAGCACTGCCCCACCCCAAACCACGCTGCACACAGGGTCCCTGAAATCCACTTTTATTCACGTAAAAAAATCTCCAAAGAATAGAGAAAGAATGTGGCCCCTACTTCCCAGAGCTCCAAGTCTCCGCCCAGTGTTCCCTGGGGAAGAGAGGGAGACCACTCCCACTCTGGACTGTGGGTGTCCTGGGGAGCGAGGCCCCCTGACCAAGGCCCTTCTGGCCTGGAGTGAGCCAGCACCTTCCCGAGGGCTGAAGGCAGGAAGGAGGGGCTGGGGACTAACAGGGCCCCAGGAGGGTGAAGGAAGGGAATTAGTGTGGGTGCTCGCCCCAATTTAAAAAAATAAAATTTCTAAAGATAAAAAGTCAAAAAAAAAAAGAAAGCATTAGTGTCTTAGCCTCCTGCCCTCCTCCCAGCACCCACCCTGGCCCTGTGGCCACCTATCGCTCTGTCAGTTCAGAGCTTCGTATTCTCCTCTTGGCTCTCCGAGTCAGCGCCGGACAGGTGCCCGCTGCTCCCGGGCGCGTGACCGTTGCTGGCACAGGCCACCAGACGCCCGTCCCCCAGCCCCTCCGGTGTCTCGCCCAGCAGGCTCCGGCGGATCTCCTGGGGCAGCCTTGCCCGCTGCTCCTGACACTCCTGGGCCAGCTGGGCCAGCAGCTGCAGGAGGAGGAGGGGATCACAGCGAGGCCAGGCCACCCAGCACCCTGCACACCCTGCACCCTCGCCTGCCCCGAGGCCTCACCTTGGGCTCCTCCTCCACCAGCTGCTGCAGGACCTGCTGCTGCCCAGCCACGAGGCGCTCCTGCCGCTGCTTCTGGGCTTCCTCTAGCTGCGGGGGCGGGGAGGGGCTCAGCCGAGGGGCTCTAAGGGCGGGGACAGGCCCTGCAGCTCTGGCTGGGCAGAGAAGTCAGGCAGGGTTCTGAGATGACCCTTAGAGCGAACGTTCCAGGTTCCCAGACTCCAAAGCCAGGGGGCACTGTTGCCGACAGCTGGCTTTGGAGATGATGTGGGTGAGAGGGGACTGTGGGGCCCAGAGGGAAAGGCTCTAGAAGCCCCTCCAGAGCAACATAGCACCACACCAGGGCACGAGGTGGGTATCTCAGGACCGAGGAAAGAGGGGTGGGCTAGGGTAGCACTCGACCCTCACTCACCCGACGGATGGAGTTGACTGACTCAGTGATGTGCCGACGGTTAATCTCTGTCAGTTCCCTACACAGAAGCAAGACAGGATGGGCTCAGTGCCCAGGAACCCAGCCCTGCCTGCCCAGCACCCAAATGGCTCCCGGCCCCGATGCCCTTACGCCTCCTTCTTGTGTTTCTCCCTTGTCTTGGCCTCTGAGATACTGTTGTGGCGCTTCCTGTCCAGGATCTTCTGCAGTTCCTTCTTCTCCCTGGAGGAGCCAAGGGGGAAGAGCAAGGGTCGATGGCGGGATGGGGGGCTCTGCCCTCCTCCTGGCCCCAGGGAGACCCCAGCCCCACCCACATGAGATCCTCTGCCTTCACCTCTCGTTTATCTCCTTCAGTCTCTTTAACTGAGTCGTGTGTGCATCCAGGACCACCTCCCTGAGCCGCTGCTGAGCCTGTGGACACAGGTGGCCAACAGGTGACAGAGGCGGATGACAGGTCTGTCCAGGAGACAGGCTCCATCTCGCCACCACACGCCCCCTCACCTGTCTCAGGTGCTCCAGCCTCCGCTCGGCCTCCGTGTCTGCCTGGGCCTCCCTCAGCTCCAGGAGACTCTGCACCTGTCTCTTCTGGAACTCTTGATGTCGCTTCACCTCCTCTTCCTCCTTCTCATTCTCCCCGCCTCTGTGAGGGGGACCCCTCTGAGTGATGCTGGGTCATCACATGGACTCGGGGGGACAGTGGGGGACAGGGCATAGCCCAGCAGGCAGTGGCAGACACCAGCCCCAGGGGCAGGCTCTGTTATGTCAAAGGGGGTCCTGTTTGCTCCACCCAGTGATGGGAGCCTGTTTGGGATCACTGTCTCACGGGGGACTTCCAGAGGTATCACTCCCTGGTAGAAAGAGGGTGGGCCCCAGTGTGGGAAGCCTCCTCTCTTCCTTGTACCAAATCCTCGTCCCTGGGGGTCAAGGGGCAACCCTCGGCCATCCCTCCACAGCCACCCAGGGCAGAAACCCACACACACACCCCCTCTATGTTCACATCAATGCATGTGGCACACTCGCACACAGGCAGGCTGGGGACTCACAGGACACCCGGCTGCGGCCGGCACCTGCCCTCAGCCCGGGCCTGGGCCAGGCCGTCAAGCAGTCGGCGAGTGAGGGCCACGGCCTTCCGCTGGTGCTTCTTCTGCAGCTCCCGCAGGTCTCGCTCCTGCCGGCTCCGGAGCTTCACCAGGGCCTTGTGGCCCCGGAGCTCGTCCAGCGGGGCGGGGGCCACCTCTGCGGGCGGCAGAGCAAGGGGGCTGGGGCTGGGCTGGGCTGGGGCGGGCCAAGCCAGCAGGAGCACCACACACCCTCCAGGAGAGGCCCCACCTCCTTTGGAAGCCCCATCCCAGAACAGGCCATGCCCCCTACCTGAGAGGATGCTGGCGACCAGATCATCTCGCTGGCCTGGAGAGCAGAGGCAGGACTGTGAGAAGCTGGAGAGCACAGCAGGGCTGCTCCCCTCAGCCTGCCCCAGGCCCAGGCGCCCCTTACCTGGGCTGCCGAGGGAGGGA